ATAGGGACCGTCAAACACGAGTCTGGGTACTCTTACTCAAAACGTTGATCGAAGTCAACTAAATCAACTTTTAAAGGCAAAAATTATTACTTTCATCAACTTTCAACATAAAAGCTTTTCTGGAATCACGCCCGGACTGCGCATGCAAATCGAGGAGCGATAAAATGAGATTTTTAAGACCTCGGAATGTAGAATTTGGTTTTAAATCATAAGATGACCTTTTGGGTCATCACAATTTGATATTGGATTTTGGTAAATTTGGTATGGTTAGACTCTGGTGGAATGGGCTTCCGAATTTGTGACTTTTATTGGATTCCAAGTCGTGGGCCCTGGGGAGGGGGGGGGGCGACTTTTTGACTTTTGATTAATAACTTAGTATTTTTTTATGGGATTGATTCCTTTAGCTCGTGTTGATTGTATCGAACTATTTGCGGCTAGATTCGAGGTATTTTGAGGCCGATTCGCGAGGCAAGAGCGTGTCAGAGTAGGGATTTGCACGGTTTGAGGTAAGTAACAGTTCTAAACTTGGTTCTGAGGGTATGAAACCCCAAATTACGTGTCATGTGATTGGTGTTGAGGTGACGCACATGCTACGTGACGGGCGTGTGGGCGTGCACCATAGAAATTGTGATTTGGTCAATTCCGTGGAACTATATAATTGAATAATCTGTTGTTATCCTTATATTATCTATGTGTTATAGGAATTGAACTGCAAATCATGTTAGAAATCATGCTTAGGCTATATGTTGATACTATAGGGACCCACCGAGGTCGTGTTACATGTTGAATTATCTGCTAAATTCTCTCTTTGTGCTCAGTCACAGTTTTTTACTTGCATATTATATCTCAGTCTCTGTTGTTATTTATTGATACATTATAACATCGTTGTTTGGGCTAATTATCATGATTATTGAGAGCCCGAGAGATGGGAGAGATTGATGACCGAGTGAGGCCGAGGGCCTGATTGTGTAGATGTTTATTGAGATCGAGTTGCATGCCGCAACATGTTTTATTGATTAATGCCACGATTGGCTTATTATAGCGCTTGGGCTGAAGGAGCTCCTCTGGAGTCTGCACACCCACAGTGAGCGCATGTACCTACTGAGTGCGAGTGCCGAGCGACTGGGAGAATTGAGAGACTGTGAGGTTGGAATGAATGGGAGGACTGAGTGAGTGTTACTATGAGAATATGCACTTGATTTTATTACTGTTGTACTTCAGGGGGCATATATCACTATCATGTAGTTTCTGAGAGATACTATATCCTATTTTAATTGAACTTGACATGAATTAACTAGTTTGGCTTAACTGTCGAACTTGTGTGCAGTCCTACCTTCCTGTACTGTATTTCTTGTGATTGAACTGCACCCGTGAAGCTCGTGACTACTTTCAGTCCAATAGTTAGTCTTGTTACTTACTGAGGTTGTTGTACTTACACTACACCCTGCAATTCGTACGCAGATCTAGGTGTTTCCGGACACGGGGGTGCTGATTATCTGTGTAGCTTGATTATTTGGAGATTTCGAGGTAGCTGCCCGGCGTTCGCAGACCTTGACTGCTCGGCGTTCGTAGACCTTGACTCTCCCTCCCTATCTTTCAGCTTTATGTATTTAGTTTCAGCTTTTCATAGACAGTATTTCCAGACTTGTGTTGTATAGATGCTCATGTACTTAGTGACACCCTAGTTTTGGGAACTTCCATATTGAGTTTTGACTTTCTATCCAGTTTATGAGAGCTTTAATTATTTAAACTTGTGTTATTTCATTTTTCATTTAAAAGTGTTGGAAATGTTTTGAGGTGTCGGCTTGCCTAGTACCACGTAGGCGCCATCATGACAGGCTAAGTTTTGGGCAGTGACAACTAGGCTTTGGGATACGTGCATGGTGCTCAACTTGCACATAATATTGAGCATAATGATTGTCATTTGATCCATGAACTTCTTTCAGGAATAAATTCTGTATTTAAGGTAAGTATTTTACCTTATTTTTCTCTTTTAAATTCTTTACATTCTATAATTTAATTTTAAATACAAGCAAAGACAATAAATTTTGATTATAACTCTAGTGCAGTTTGTAAGAAATTATAACCACCCAAAGTGGTAAAATTTCTATGTCTTGCCATGATCAAATTCATGTATGATTGTGCAGCACAAGAAGTGGAAACCGTCCCATTGAATTTGGTCCATTCATGACGTGAATGTGACAATATGTGATTTATGAATACATATTCATTCTTGGAAGAATATGAACGTGCTAGTGGTAGTGAATATATCACACTAACCTCTAGAAAGAGGCTTGAGATGAAATAAGAAAATAATTTCATTATTATGGCAGCATGGTCATTGACCACGTACCTATTGTGATTATGCCAAAATATTATGGTAATGTGATTGATACAGGGAAAAAGTAATAGAAGAAACATATTTTGCCTATAATGATTTTGACCATGACCATAATGGTACAACTTTCTTCTTGAAAGAGATATTCACTATATGGTGTTGATGAATATATAGTATTACAAAATTAATTGAAAGCTCTGGAAGAGCCAATTATACTATTTTAGAGAAATAAAATTAATTATCAATAACACATTGTGTTGTAGTAAGTCTCAAAGAAACTTATTGAGTTTCTAAAGTATTCGCGAAAGCGGTTGGTTATATTGAGACTATAAATAAATGAAAGATTTAATATCTTCTATTACTACAATTTGTAGCATGATAATATGTATGTGAAAAGCTACCTGCTTTATTCTCCAATTTGTACTACACAAATAAAAGTATGCAACAATAAAGTAGAAGTTTATTGATATAAAAATTCATATCATAATAAACTTAGAGTTTATTGATAATTGCACACGTCTTGGTGTAGATACTAATATTATCTCCTTTTGCCTTTTTATTTTCTTGAGCCTAGGGTCTTTCATAAACAGTCTCTCTACTCCTTCGGGTAGGGGTAAGGTCTGCGTATACCACATGAGATTCATCTATGAAATGGTTACATGTGCAATTATTATTAACCTGCAATCTGGTGTTTGCGGGGTAACTTGCTCAATAATTTAATTTAGAGTATTATTTCCAGATTTTCTATTCAAGACAGTCATCTTGATAAGTTGGTTTACATCACAGTTGATTTAGCAAAATAATTTATCGAGTGCCTCTACTTAGTAACTAAACTATTGCTTAAGAGAACAAAGTTATTTATATCAGTTTGATATACGTTAGATACGAAAGTATATTATATTCTCCCCTTACAAGTGATTCACAGTCAGGAACCAAATAATTTTATCATACTATTGATATGCGGTGTATATTTTGATTAGTATACCACAACGCAGAAAGGTGGATTTTTAAAGTTGAGGAAACAAGTTAGTTTTTCTAACATGAAAGAGTGACAGGATAAATAGTTGAGAAAAAGTTACGGAATGAATTATCATTTGTACATCTAGATCCTCGAGTAAGATAATATGAACTCGAAATTCATAAAAAGATAATTCATCTGCAATATATTGCAAATCATGTCAAACGCATTTGCCGACCAAAAGAAAGTAACTATATTCTCACTGCAAATGCCCTTATTAGAATAAGTCCTAGAAGGACAAAGTCTATGGTACACTTAAAGCGTATAGACAAATCAGATTCAAATAAAATTCTCGATAAACAAGATGAGCAAATGATCAAAATGATCATAATAAGGAGGCAAGTGATTTAGAAGATCATATGACATAATACCTCATAAAATCTCAAGAGAGGTTCAGGTACCTGAAAATATGAAGGAAGAGATCTCTATGTTATATATTTAAGAAAAAATGTTGGAACCGATATAAAATGTTCGTCAACTATATCTATGATAACATTAAGTATAGATGGGGATCTTAAATCTATCGAATACAGACACAAATATATTTCCCAAATGAAAGAGACACAATTCGAATATAATTTGTTTTATACGAAAGACATATAGTTTTGGACCTGCAGTTCAAACACTTGAAAATTTAAAGTCAATGGTGTGTGCAATCACTTTTATCTATCTTAGATGTCTAGTATGACATGAAAACTTGATATGCATCTAAAGTCTATTTAAATGGCTTATATGACTTAACTTATACGACAATTCCTGAAGGATTCAAATCGCTTAAAGCATATATAATTCTTGGTTCTGAAGTACCATATCCTAAGTGCAATTTGTGCACATATGTATCTTGCTATAACTATAAGCATGATAATGTGATAGCGAAATTTTTTACCTCTATGGAGATATTGAAAATGCCATTCCACAACATTATATGAAGACATCACATATCTATCAAGAATGATAATTTTAAGGTGCAACATATTCATTCAACTTAATATGGCTGACCAAAGATCTTTTGAAGATGGTGCACAAGATTGGAATGTGAAGGCTTAACGATGTGAATTGATGCTCTTATTAGGGGGAGTTAATATGCGTTGTACTCTTTTTCCCTTGTCCCACTAAATTTTCCTTGCAAGGTTTTTAACGAGATAACCAAAAGGCGCATTGTTAGATATGTGTACTCTTTTTCCTTCACTAGAATTTTTTCCACTGGGTTTTATTTTATTTAAGGTTGAGGCACATTATCTGTTGAATAGATATTAAGGGGTAGTATTCAAAATAAAATTATATTTAAGGTGAATGTCTATATTTTAAAGAGATTTTAGTGTTTGTTACTTTGTGGTTGAGTCACTTTTTTCCTATAAAGAGAGGGGTTCTATTCAACTGTAAATCATCCCAAATCAATAAGAATTATGTCTCTCTGCATTTCTTTGCAATACTCTTCTTCTTCTTTTATTGTTTTATACTCCCTAACAATTCTAGTAATATAATATTATTTTACAAAATTATATACTACAACTCGACATACACGTGGCCGAAAAACTAATAAATTTTAGAAGTAATATAAATACGTAAAAACCTGTAACCATTTCAACATTATAAACTGTTTTTTTATCTGGAAAAGAAAAAGAAGAAATACTAGTATGCTATTGGTACATTAACTCCCCACTCAACCCCTAGTCCCCCACCGGCATCCCTTTCTCTCATTGCCCGTTTGGGGAAAACGTAAACGTATAGGACCTCAACGTCGGTTGGCGAACTTCAACCAACAGGGGTGCACTCTGCGCACCCTTAATTTCTCTCTCTAAAACCCTAACTAACCACATTTTCCCTCTCTAACTCTCTAACACCGCAATGCCAATGCCAAGAGGGCTCTGCCTTCTCCTCCTCCTGTCCTCCTTCTCCTTTTCTTCTGCTGATCCGATACCTGGTGGAGATTCAGAAAATGGCGTCGTTGTCGTCGGTGTCAATGCTGCTGCTGAATTGAATGCGTCTGCCATTGCGAGATCTGAGGAAGGTAGTTTCGCCAACATGATTGATCGAGCTCTGGAAAAAGAGTTCAATGAGACCGAAGAGCAGCCCGGTGGTTAGTCACATCTACCATTTGATTTTTTTTCTAGGTTTTGTCTTTGCTGAATTACATTCTTCTAATCATGGGTAAGTTGCAACACTGGGTACATTCAGAGGTGGATTCAGGATTTGAACTTTATGTATTCGGGATTCTAGGACAGCAAGCTCGAGTGCTTGTAACTGGGTTCAAAATTTAACATTTGTACATATTTAGTGGTTTTGTTAAGACACGGGATTGGGCCAAAGCTATTTAGTAAAGCACAATGTGGGGCTTAAATTGCACGTCTAAGAGGCTAAGTTCTATAAGTTTGTCAGAGTTACAGTTTTTCGCTATTAATTCTTTTTAAGAAGCAGTTTTAATATAATTACTTACTCGCGCGACAATTTTCTGCTTCTAAAGGCTATTTTTCACACACATGGGGCAATATAATTGTGTTTCTAGATTTGGTTGGTTGTTCTTGGAGATGTTTTTAGAAACTTGAGGTATTTAATGTTTATGCTTGATGCATAAGATTCTGTTTTGCTTTTATGAAATGGTCTTTAATAACTTCAGAACCCCAACTTGCCCCTAAATCTCAGGAGTCAACGTGGTTCGTTACCACTTCTCTCCGATAACTCAAATCCCCAACCTCAAAGATGGAGGGGGGAGTGCCCTTCCTAGGCTATCTCTTGTTTGTTAGAACTTAGAACCCCTAATTTACTTTGAAAGGGAAATTATTTAGTATCTAAATGAGATGGACTTGAATAGAGCTGAATGGATAGAGGATTAATATATTATTGATATAGCTGATTGATTGATTTGTCTATTATAAGCTCACATATGTGTCTTTCTCTTTGATGTCCATCTATCTCATACTATTACTGTTTCTTGTTTCAGCAATAGATCACGGGAGCTTCAACAATAGCGTCTCGGAGCAGGAGGTTTGCGCGATGTTCCTTTAAGTTATTGTCTTAAGGAGATAGTAAGAATAATTGGTTGCCATATGTTAGTAAATGATATTGATTTGAACTTCTCATGGAGTCATGCTTTATCTGAAATTAATTGCAATAATCTTTAGGTTATTTACTATGAGTAGCTGGATGGATTGGAGTTCGTTGGACCGATTTTGATCCGTGACATGTTGATATCTTGTTTAATGGGTTTAATATGTATTTATTTGCTAGATTCTTTGTAGTTTTAGTTTAGCTCTAAAGGGGAAGTATGTGAAGATGTTTTGATGTTAAAATTGTGGGCAAAGATTTATTTTATATGTTTGCTTTCATTTTGTAAAATATATATCTAATAGTTGTGTATTAATTATGGAACCTTCCTTTATTTTACGTAGCCTAAAATTCTATTTAAGGAACCATCTTGAATGTATTTACTCATATTTCAAATTAATTCTCTCTCCTCTCTCCTCTCTCCTTTTCGCGCTTGGCATCGTAGTTGCTAGCTGTAGATAGATAACTTTGTTTAGGTAGTTGTTTGACCAGAAAACTTTTTCACCATCGTCCAAGCCGTGGTGAGCTTGTTATCTCGACATTCGTGTTCCATCTAATAGTGAAACCATATCTAGAGTTTGGTCTTGACAAGACAAAACGATTATCAATACCACGTCCAGATATACACAACAATGCACGGTCACGTCGTTAGAAGTTCCATAGCCAGGCCCAACACACGCATCGTCACGTTTCTTTTGCATTTTCCATGGAAAATGGGAATACCTACTTGTACAGATGGTTAAAATTTGGGAGGTTTAATACATTGATTCCGTACTTTGTAACAATAATACCAGCTTGATGTGGAATCAATGAAATACTTTGCTTTTTTAAAAAGAAACAAGGACAGTCAGTGATTAATTTTCAGCCACATAAGAGGCCACAACAGTGGAAGTTGTCAATGAGTCGTCCCTAGGACTTCTCGACATTCTGGCTCCGTCTATTCTATCCCTTTTGTCACATTCTGATCATACATTAGCCATCACTAATTTTGGAAGGATTTCGCTATAAGTTGCTTTAGTAAGATGGCTAATTAAGTTAGAAAAGAATTCTCCAAAGTAGTCATAGTATGTCATTTTGAGGTATTGCCAAAAACATTTTTTTAGAGTATTGCAGTTTTTCCTAGTTCATTAGTCAATCGTTTGCTTATCTTACTGTAGAACTTGCAATTTAGAAAAGCAATACAAGAGAGAATCTTATTATGCTTTTTTAAGTTTAATTTTTTTGATTATGACCTATTTCCAAGTACTGTGGAACATATGTATGCATTTCTGAAGCATGTCAATTCTCAGGCAGTTCTGGAAACCGTTGCTAGGGTTGGTAGGGTCAAGTTTAAGAAGAACGAGACAAATGAGGAAAAGTATGCCATGCTATCTTAAGATTCATTACAGGCTATGCTACTTCTTTAAAGGTCTCTGTGTTGTCACAAGATGGAAAGACTCAATGCTGTTGGTATTCTTTTTGAGTTTTGTGCTAGGTCATTCCAGTTGCAGAGTGTTTTCAACCTGGATAATGACAATGGAGCAGAAGATACGCCTACATTGATAGATCGAAAGGTACTTCTTACATCTTCAAAAGTTCTTTTGGAGAGGATCACCTCTGTGCTCCGCTAATAAGATGATTATGGATTCCTGAAAGCACGATTTACTAACTGCCCCCCCCCCCCCTCCCCCACCCCACCCCCACCCCTAAAAAAAACAGGATAATGTTTTTATCATGTCTAATCCGAAGTCAAAGTTTCCAGTGCTGCAGCTAGATTTAAGGTTAGCTTACTCCCTCTTTGCCACATCCTGGTTATTGTAGAACTTAATAACTAACAGAAAGACAAATTTATCAAGGTAGTAGTTTGTTAATCAATCTGATTTTATGTAACTCCATTCGCAGATTGATATCTGATTTGGTTGTTGTCATTGTTTCTGCAACTTGTGGTGGCATTGCCTTCGCTTGTGCTGGACAACCGGTCTGATAACTTCTCCTTTTGCTTGTTCTGATGATAACTGCAATAGCTCCTTTCACTGTCTTCTGCATATGGTCTGTTTGGCTTGCGGATTATGTTTATTTGACTTCTTTTATGAATCTTGCTTTATAGCATATGCTACTAATGTCTTGCAGGTTATCACTGGATATTTGCTGGCAGGATCAATTATTGGACCTGGTGGTTTTAACATTATCAGTGAAATGGTGCAGGTATGTTGATTTCATGTCTTTTTCAATTAAGTAACTCAATCAATCTTTCAATTAATCAGTTAACTCATTCCCAAGTTATCTTCAATCAAGGAACTAAGAAAAAAAAAATCATGTGGTGTACAGAAATTTCTCTCTTGAATTTATTTGACTTATACATGTTTATGCATGCTGTTTTGCTTTTGCGGTTTGTGTTTCATTAAGTGTTAATGAGTCATTTTGTACATTTGAGAGTATTGAGATGTGTAGAAGTTATACATTCGGTTCTGCTTCATACTATTAGCACTTTCCAGCAGTTTAAAGTGTTTTTGGGGTTTTAATGCTTTATGGCTTATATCAACTGTGTTTGTTGTTTGACGGTCATGTAATCTTGTGGTGTTAATGGTATTGCTACTATATTCTAGTATTCTTTCAGTCTTTTTAAATTTATGTTTCCTGAGTTCCTGTGGTACAATTTTGCAGGTTGAAACAGTTGCTCAATTTGGTGTTATCTTTCTTCTTTTTGCGTTGGGCTTAGAGTTTTCCACTGCAAAGGTTGGCTTTTGGTTATTAAAATGAAAACATTTTGTTGTTTTATCTTATAAATTGAAAGAGGATGTGCAATTTAACTTGTAATTGCAGCTTCGCATTGTTCGTGCTGTTGCAGTGTTAGGAGGGTCACTTCAGATAATTCTCTTCATGTGTTTATGTGGAATAACAGCCTCGGTGTGCAACTTTTGTCATCACCTATTTTGGAGCTATTGTTATGACTAGTTCAATTTTAGTTATCTGCAGTCTGGAAAAGCTTTTATCTAAATATTTGAGACTCCAACTATGCAAATTTGAGCTCTTTGATATCACCTTATCTTAACCGTGATTTGTTGATACTTGCAGTTATGCGGTGGGAAAGCATCTGAGGGTGTTTTTGTGGGTGTCTTCTTGTCAATGTCTTCAACAGCAGTGGCAAGTCCCTGTGAATTTTGACTTTTATCTTTTCAATTGAATTTATTGGACCGCCAAGTATTTGGTCATGGACTCTTATAGAGGATTGGGAATATTCCAAATAATTTAAGTCACACAAGGTGTACTTTAGGAGAGAAAAATGGGATAGTTTACCAGTAATAATATAATTTACTATGGTATAATTTAGGGGAGAAGTAGGGAAATGTCGCTGTGAATGCACGGATCACCTTCTATATTGGGTTTCATTAGTTTCAACCCTATATCAGTTGTTTCTACAAAATGTTAGGAGCTCGGTTAGGTGTTGGAAGACTGGAATTAATCATCGATTTTTAGAGAATGTATTGAGTATTGACTGAATAATCTTAAAAACAAGTGTATTACCGAAATTGTGGAAGGGGATTTACTTTAATTTTTTTACAATCACAAGAAAGATGATAAAAGCTTACCATTTCTTCGTGCATCCTGTTTTGTGCTTAACTTGCTGCTAAAGATGTAATTTCAAATGTTGTTTAGGAATTCCTTTTTACAATTTAGACAAGCAATATTTCTTGGATATTCTCTAAGACCTTAGGCTCTCTCAATCCTCTATGGATTTCTTTCTCCCAACATATTTGCAGCCTAAAATTGCTATTAACTGGATAGATATAATGGGAAGAGTGCGAAAGGAATGAATGGGCAGTCCATATAAGCAGATTCTGTATTCGGGAAGTCATACTATCTTGAATCTTGAATCCACTCGTTCAGTGTTACTGATGAAAATATTGAATTAGATACATTGTGCTGTACCTAATAAAATCATATTTAACATACTGAAGAAATAATACATCTTGCTAAATTGCAGGTGTTGAAATTTTTGATGGAAAGGAATAGTGTTAACACTCTCTATGGGCAAGTCACAGTTGGAACCCTTATTCTGCAGGTGTTTTAGCTTCCCATCTTTGTTTTTAGTGATATTGCTATTACTAAAAGATTTATGGTCTGTTATTTTTCACATGGATGGGCTATTATAGTTGATCTAACAATTATCAATGCTTATTATTTTGCTAGTTCTTTTTCATTGAGAATACTCCCCTTATTGAATTTTTGAGATGTTTCGCTGACAGGATTGTACAGTCGGTTTGCTATTTGCACTGCTTCCTATTCTGGGTGGTACTTCTGGTGTTTTTCAAGGAATGGCTTCCATGGCAAAAGTGTAAGCAACGGTGGTTGAAAAAGTTCTAAAATTGGAATGCAAGCTCAAATCACTGTGACACATTTATGCTATTACATGCATAATGAAATCGTTGAATGTCCATAATATATTGCTCTAATGTAGTCTTCTGTGTTGCTGATGATTTATCATACATAATCGGTGGGTATGTAGCCTCTCTATCTTCACTAGGTAGGGGTAACTCTGCGTATTCACTACCCTCCCTAGACCGCACATGTGGGAATATACTGGGTTTAATTGTTGTTGTAATCGGCGGGTATGGCGATTATGGTGCCAAGTAAAAGACTTCTCAAGTTATTGTTGTTACCTTTATTTAATTTCTAATATTCTAAGCATAAATTTGGACAAGTGTTGGTCAACTGCTGTCCTGCATCAGGTTAAGAATTGTGTGACCAAATGAAAGACAGCTGATAGAGTCATTTCACCTTGGTTTGGACCTGATATTCTCATGCAGCTTTTATTTCTGAACTTGTCAGCCTAGGGCCATTAGCATTTTTGTGTGGGTGCCCAAGGTGTACGTGTCATACAAAGAGAAACAACCTGAATATTCTTGGGCGCATTTCATTTTGTTGTACATACAATCTGAATTCTAATTTTGATTCTCCTCTCAAACAAAAATTCTGTTTTTTTTTAAAAATTTTCCGACACTAGTAAATTTATTGAACGTTTTAGAAGTTTGTCATGCCCTTAATTTGCTACTTTTCGTTGGATTACAGATTGGTGATTTTGTTGATGTTCTTGACCATTTTGTCGATACTATGCCGCAGTTGCGTTCCTTGGTTTCTTAGATTGATGATAGGCCTATCATCACAGGTGAGTTTGCATCTGCTTGAATAATGCATAATTTTATTGTAATTTTTGTTTCCTTGGGTGACTATGAACATTTGATTTACTGGGAATTAATCTGCAGACTAATGAATTGTACCAACTTGCATCCGTGGCTTTCTGCTTGCTTGTTGCTGGGGTTTGTCTCCCTTTACTATCCTGAGCAGCATATCTGTGCAATCTGACTATCTTTTTTTTTTTTACCTTTAAAACTGTCATCCTGATAGTTTTTCAGTTAATCACTTCTCAATCATATGACAATGAGCACATATAGCCTACTGGATAAAATGGGTTGTTGCATCTTGTCAGTGTAGTGATAAGCTGGGCTTAAGTCTTGAACTGGGTTCTTTTGCTGCTGGAGTGATGATATCAACTACTGATCTGGGTCAGCATACTCTTGAACAGGTACAATCTTTTGTAAATTCATATGGACACTGCATTTAGCCTTAAATCTTTTGTTGTTTGCCAGGAGTCCTTTTCAGTTGGATGACTTGTATGTCAGTGTATAAAGAAGTGTGAGATTTAGAGAACCTGTAGTTTCTAAAGAACTCCTAGCTTGCCTTAGAAGTCAATTCTTTGGTATAGAATGGACCCGAATAGAAGCTAGGTATAGATGATTATATAACTGATCCCTACTACTTTGGTATTGGAGATGTAGTTGCTTGATTTAATGGCTGTTGTTTGTCATGCTCTCGTCCTTAGCTACATATATCTGGCTTTGGAGTATGCTCAAGTAGGCAACAAACTGAGGGACGTTTTCTATTCAAGGTTTAAGATCCTCAATTGACACTTAGCTGTATCACATTATTAAACTTCATCTAAATGGGTTCAAAAAATTTCAGATTTCATGATAATCCTGGTAGCTCAATCATCTATGTCACCAAACTTTAAATTTGTCAACTTCTTGATAGCTTCAACCTAGAAACTGAAAACTTTCCTGTGAAATATAAAATTTTAAAATGGGTGTTATTTTTTTTCCTAAAATCTTTAAAATTGAATTTCAGAGTCCTCTTCCTATTGTAAAGACATTTAAGTTACAAACATCATTTGTTCAAAACTATTGGACAACTTAGGCCACCACATGGTCATCCTCTGAATTATGAAGAGCTTGAGCTCGAGCTTCAATGAGCATCACTTTTTTGTGCTCTCATGTTGTCCAGCTGTTGAAGCAATCTTCCTGTGGCCAGTGGTCTAAAAGGAATTTTTGAGGTGCGCTTTGGGGCGCATCCAGGTGCAAGGTGCATTAAGATCCGCTTGGGGCGGAGGTGAGAGGCGTATGCCTTGCAACACATAGGCTGTGAGACATATGCTTTGGGTGAACATTGAGCCTCAGACTATGCGTCACCCTGAAGTTTTTTACAAATAAATCTTCAAACTGCCTAAAATAGATGTATGCAACTGGGTGAAGAAGATGAAAAGACAAAGATGAGAACCTACTGTCACCTTCTCCTTCTTTTGCTTCACTTAGTCTTCTTCTTCTTCTGCTTGCCGTAATTGACTTGGTAGACTTGAAAGCCATTGACGGTGTAGATCTGGAGTTAAGGGAGAGGGGAGCGCGAGGTTAGCAATTTTTACAATATGGCAAGAGATGCGGCGGAACTAGGGCTAGATCAAAAAGTAATTTCGATTGATAAAATCTAGCCATTAATTTATGGGCCTTCTTCGGTCGTGGGCTCTCTAATGACTGAAGATTATTTATGTTTCGTAGTACTTATTGTAAACAAAATGAGATAGCAATAATTAAAAACTGAGGGGAAATGATTCACTTATAAAGAGTTTTTCATGTATTATTAAATTAATTTGTAACTTTAAAAAAAAATATATATAACTTTCTACAAATTTTGTAGCCCCCCCCCCCCCCCCCCCCCCCCCCCCACCCCCCCCCCCCCCCCCCTATGTATACACTTTTTGCTTTGTTTAATTTAATTTCAATTTTAAAAATGTTTAAAATATAAATTTCGTGGGACTTAAGTCCCTTTAAGGCTTATGCTTCTCTCCATGACAAGTATCTCGCTGTCGGTACCTGTGACCATGCCCGTGAAAAATACTTGGTGACAAATTGAAAGATAGCCTACTTCTTCGAAATTGTAGAGGATGATACTTGGAAGTTTGGCAGTTAGGAGGAATTCTGAGAGCCCTAATATTAGGCTTTTGACTGATGTCCTATTGGCCAGTACGCTTGAACCGTTTCTACCAAAATAATGTCTGTTTAAAATATAAAATTCATGGGACTTAAGTCGTCTCCTTAAGGCTTATGCTTCTCTCCATGACAAGTAAAACACCTTGTCTCATCGCTCCTGCTGTCGGCACCAGTGGACCGTGCCTGTGAACAATACTTGGTGACAACTTGAAAGATAGCCGACTTCTTTTTGAAATTGTAGAGGATCTTTTTTGGAAGTTTGGCAGTTAGGAGGAGTTAGGAGGAATTCTGAGAGCCCTAATGTTAGGCTTTTGAATGATGTCCTACCGGCCAGTACGCTTTAACTGTTTCTACCAAAATAATGTCTGTTTAAAATATAAAATTATGGGACTTAAGTCCCCTTAAGGCTTATCACCTTGTCTCATCGCTCCTGCTGTCGGTACCTGTGACCATGCCCGTGAATAATACTTGGTGACAAATTGAAAGATACCCTCCTTTTGAAATTGTAGAGGATCTTTCTTGGAAGTTTGGCAGTTAGGAGGAATTTTGAGCCATAATGTTAGGCTTTTGACTGATGCCCTACTGGCCAGTGGCCAGTATGCTTTAACCTCTTAGACCAGAATAATGTCTGTTTAAAATATAAAATTCGTGGGACCTAAGTCCCCTCAAGGCTTATGCTTCTCTCCGTGAAAAGTAAAACACCTTTCCTCATCACTTTTGTTGTCGGTACCTGTGACCATGCCCGTGAATAATACTTGGTGACAAATTGAAAGATACCCGACTTCTTTTTTAAATTGTTGAGGATCTTCCTTGGAAGTTTGGCAGTTAGGAGGAATTATGAGAGCCATGATGTTAGGCTTTTGACTGATGCCCTACTGGCCAGTATGCTTTAACTGCTTAGACTAAAATAATGTGTTAAAATATAAAATTTATGGGACTTAAGTCCCTTGAGGCTTATGCTTCTCTCCATGACAAGTAAAACATCTTGTCTCATCGCTCCTGCTGCTGATACCCGTGTCCGTGCCCGTGAACAATACTTGGTGACAAATTGAAAGATACCCAACCTCTTTTTGACATTATGGAGGATCTTTCATGGATGTTTGGTAGTTAGGAGGAATTCTGAGAGCCCTAATATTAGGCTTTTGACTGATGTCCTACTGGCCAGGATGCTTTAACTGTTTCTACCAAAATAAATTTCTCCATTTCTTGTTGGGTCGTCCAAAATAATGTCTGTTTGCTTGAAACAGGAACCTCCATCTATTCCTGGAAAGAAAAAACTTACCTGCCATCAGTTGATCGCCATTTAACGCTAAAAATTATTGTTTAAGCCTTTCTTTTAAAGGCAATGGTGAGCTGTAAGCTGACTTCCAGCCGGGCACAATACGTTGTTAGGCTTGGGAAAACTGGAAATCTCTCAGGAAGTCTAGCTTTTTCTGTGTTAATACTATATCTACTTATCTCGTAAGATTTCTAAGGCTGTGATTGTGTTACTTTCGTCAAGTCTTATGATCATATCTGAGTATCATCTCTGTTTGGTTGTTAGTCCTCTTTTTATTACCTATATCTTTTTCTGTGATCTGTCTCTGTTATTAAAGAGAGCTATACTGTTCTTCGATTAAGCCGGACTATCTTAGCAGTAAGTAGTTCACTCAATCCTTGTGCATAATAATATTTGTATAGTAGATATTATTTTCAATTGTTGGACCACCTAGTTTCAGAACTATTTTTCTGATTGTACTTCCTTTGATTCTCTTAGTGCCTTCTAACCACTTGTAATATTTGCAGTATCAAGTTCTAAACGTTTTCTTTATTTGAACTCACGAGACTATTACTGCCTGCAAAACTCCTTGACCTTCTTTCATTCAGATTCGGTCGTTGGAAATTATACCTCCTCTACGTTAAGTCCCCAGAGATCAGGACTTTTTCCCCCTAGCTCTTGGCGATAACCATATTCTTTGTCCGTCCAGTTCCAACTTCCAACAATGGACCCACTCTACCGGAAAAAAATATGGCCAATGATGGGACACCCTTCCTTTTTATTTAATTATCTTTTCTCGACCTCAACTCAATTGTTCCATCATTATTTTTTTGTCCCTGACATTTCTATTTTTTTCCGTAGAATTTGAGATTGAGTAGGATGACATGAGATAACAGTCGTATAGTTTTGAGAACTCCTTCCTAGTTTTGATTGGGGACAAGGGGAAGTTGAGTGGGTGAGTCATCATCTTTTGTCTTGAACCCTGAATCCTCAGCATTCACCTTAAAATTGAGCAAATTATTGCTGCAACAGTTTTTGCAAAAGTTCTGATGTGCTGAACTTTTTTGGTCGTAAGCCTTAACTTATTTTTTTTTTTAAAAAAATAATGGGGAAGGGGAGATTACAAGGTAGGGAATCGAACCCTTACCAACAAGGTGAAATTTAGGTAGCCAACCAACTGAGTTACTAAGATCCCCCGTAAGCCTTAACTAGTTCTTAGCTTTTGTTTAGATTGGTAAGTGTCATTTCCAGAACATATCATTGGTCTTGGCTCTTAATTGTGTTTTCATTTGTTGCAGGTTGAACCAATCCGGAACTTCTTTGCTGCTCTTTTTCTATCCAGCATTGGCATGCTTATCCATGTTCATTTTCTCTGGAATCATATCGATATTTTACTGGCAGCTGTTATATTGGTCGTCATTATAAAAACTATTGTGGTTGCCGCAGTAGTCAAGGGTTTCGGTTACACCAATAAAGCTGCACTTCTTGTAAGTAGTCCAAACTGTTTGACCAGAAAGGTTGCTCTAGTAGTAGAGATCCCTTCACCTCCAACCATGAGGTTGGGGGTTAGAGTCGCGAAGGGAAAAAGTGGAGAAAACCACTGTGGCCGCTGAGCAGGAGGGTTCTGGTGGGTAGGGTTCCCAAATCAAAAAAGTACTCCAAACTGTTTTATGTGCTACAATGTTATCAAAGCGCAAAAAAGCTCTCAGATCCATTGGGGCTTTTAGCGCAAAGCGCAAATAAAGCATAAAAAATACAAATATGTATTTGTAGGCCAAGAATAATTAAAAGCATGAATAACAAATATGTGGACAATGAAATTGAAAAAAAATTACGATAAAGTGAAATATCAATTGTTTCGTGTCGCCTCTTCAGGATTATGCTCATTGGCAAGGAAAAGTATGCCTTAAAGTCTTGATGACGACACTGAAGCGCCCACTAAGAGCCCGTTTGGCCAAGCTGCCAAAAACTACTTATTTTGAAAAGCGCTTTTATTCAAAAGTGCTTTATGAAAAAGTACTTTTGCAAAATATTAGTTTGTGTTTGGCCGATTTGTTTGAATAGTGCTTTTTGCAAGCTCATTATGTTTGGCCAATCTTTTAAAAAAGCACTTTTAAGTATCAAATTACGAAAAAGAACAGTAAAGGTTCAATTTGCGATTAGTATTATTTAGAAAAGAAAAATAAATTTAAACATTTTTTAGAAAAGAATTCCATTAAAATATAAAGTGTAAAGTAAAAATATAAAATTAAAAATTCTCATTAATATAATATAGTTATTCCAAAACAATAATATTGAGTGTTTAGTATTACTTATTATTTACATGATAATTTAAATATGTCAAAATACATCATTCAATATAAATTTAAAATCTACTCTTAGGAATAGGAGAAAGAATAAAAATGTAATTAAAATAAAAAAGAGAATAAATGTATAGCAGAAATTAAAAAAAAATCACTTGTTCCTTCTTTTGGTGCAACTTTAGCTTGAGCTGAGACTTCACTCAAATCTTTTACCAACCCAATAGGTTCATCTTCATGTTCCTGCCTCTCAGAAAGAATGTTAGTTTCATCAAAAACTACATGCACACTTTCTTCTACATACAAAGTTCTTTTATTGAACACTTTATAAGCTTTGCTATGTGAAGAATATCCCAAGAATACTCCCTCATNTCTTGAATAAATTAACTTTCTGCTTCTGCTTTTTGGAAGAAGCTAGAATTTTTAGCTTCTCCCCAGAAGCAGAAAAACTGCTTCTGCTGCTGCTCAAAAGTACTTTTTCATTTTGGCAAACACCTTAAATTTTCCAAAAAGTGTTTTTTTGACCAAAAAAAAGTACTTTTGGCCTCCTGAAGCTTGGCCAAACAGGCTCTAAGTGAGGCGAAACACTCAACATGTTTTGAGCCTCGCTTTAGGGCTTCAGCGCGCCTTTGACAACACTGATGTCCTAAATAAAGCAGTTGGTTAAACTCTGTATTTGTACCTCTACCTTTGCATCACGAAGTCTTTTTTGAATGGTATCTCCAGGTTGGAATGTCTCTGGCTCAAATAGGGGAGTTTGCATTTGTTCTTCTCAGTCGCGCTTCAAATGTTCATCTAATTGAGGTAGTGGTTCAGTTAAAGTACTTTGCTAGCAGAACTAGAAAAAATGTTCTTATATTTGTTTGATAATATGATGTCGTGCTACTTTAAGTAGCACTTGGGAGGAATTTCTGTTTATAAGACTGGAATTGCAAATGATTTTATAAATTTGAGGAAAACTCTCTTGTTTCTAATTTCCTTCTGGTGCACCCATGAGGTCCCTATTTGTATAGAAGACTGGCTGTCTTTTGTAGAGAACCGTATTTTGGTATAGGTTCTCTTCCTTTTGATATATGAGTATTATATGGGTTTTCCTCTTTTACATCCACAAATTTACTTACCTTATCAAAAGAGGAACATCTATTTGCACTGTCGTGAAATAAAAAATTGATCAAGTAAAAAAATACTCGTAATGCTAGGCTTGTGTTGCCACTCCTTTATGTAATTTCAATCTGGGTTGATGTTAAGGATTGATGACCTTGTGATGAAGTAATGAAATTTGGTCGCTGCTGCAGGGTAAAGTGTATATGCTGCTTCTGGGCACAACTGCACTTAGCCTGGTATGTAAAATATGTTGCTTTCTCCATTTTTAACACAAATAGGAGTGTGCCTTATGTCTCTCTTTTTTGACTTTTAAAGATTCTCATATCTGTTTTTGTTGTTGGCAATCATGTTAAATGGTTCTGTGCACTCCAGGCTCTGTACCCACTGCCAATGGCGGAACCAGATTCCTAACAAGAGGATTCCAAAAAAATGCAAAAACTTATTTGTTTTTACCCTACTTGCACAGTGTAATTTCCGGATAAAGGGGATTCAGTTGAACCCCCTTACCGTTTAGCCTTGACCAACTGCACTTTTAGAGTGTTTCGAGATTCATGGTGACAACTTCACTTAGTGCACCCTTAGGTTGTGAGCACAAGTCTAAAAAGCTTCTAATGGCAGGGCGTAGAAATAATCTGCCTCGATATATAACTCTCGTTTTTAATGCTTTATGTTTCAATGAGTAGGCTAATTCTATTGAAATTTCATGGCCCAGGCAGGTTTTCCTAGTATGCTTAATCTGCTAGTGATCAGGGTAGGGTTATACAGGGTTCAAGGTTTAGGGTTTAGGAATTCCTTGTTTTGAGAAGGTAACGTATCTGTTATATATATAAACAGGAACACACACAAAGCAGTGTCATCCTTCATAATTACAAACAGAAGTACAATCTGATTTCCTATCCCTAACTACCTCATAAGTAGTCTAAGACTTCAAAAATGGACTCAGCTTCTTGTAAATACTCTTGTTTACACCAAAAATAAAAAAAGGACTAAGCAGTTCGTCTTCAACTTTTGGATGGAACTGCTATTGTCTTCAAAACATCTTTGATTTCTCTCATTCCAAATTTTCCATCAGATGCAGACTGGGACAATCTTCCATCGCTCCTTGTGTCCTGGCAGGTTACCATCTGTATTCCAGCACGGTAGGACTTCCTGGATTCTCCTTGGAATGATCCACCTAATTCCCCTCAAGTTAATGAACAACTTCCATAATTGATCTGTCATTCTACAATGTAAAAGAGATGACTGATTGTCTCTGCCTCAACACCACATAAAATAACATCTGGAACATAACTGGAATCCCCTCTTGATGAGATTATCTTGATTTAATCTCATCAAGTTACTGTTGGTCATTTATGCCTGGTCCCGAATTCTATCAGGTAACCCCAAAATACCACCAATGAGCCTCATGCAAACTGTATTAATTATTTGGAGAAGACAAACTATCAGCATTACATGGCCCAATCTATTTTTTTTGGAATGTTCACTATAGTAATTATACTTAACTGTTATACTTTCTTTAGAAACTGCTGGTATTTTGTGCTCATTCCAAACCATTTCTGCAGGTTACAACACCGTTGCTTTTCAAGCTAATTCCTGCTGTTGTGCACCTTGGTGTTCTACTGAGATGGTTTTCCCCTGATATACCAAATGAGGTAGCTCTTCCTTTAAAAACTGCTGATTCTCTCTGTTTTATCAGCCTGTCTACACTTTTAATGGTTTTTCTCGGAATACTCGGGTTACCTAAGAGTTTTGAGGTATCTTCAAAATGATTTTTCATCCCAGATTGGATCTAAAGGAGATATCATGCGTGCAGACAGTTCTAAGCGTATTACTGTGCTGATCCAAGGCCCTCATGATTCATGATAATAAATAGAAACATGAACCAGTAAAGCGATTCTCACACTTACCTGATGGCATTCTTATGCTGGGGGACAGGTGCCCAAGAGTGCAAAGGCTGTTGACTGATTGGACAATTTATCATCATGAAGCTCCTTTTATGCGCCAATCGGATGGTTTTCTTTGATATATTGGAAACTGGTCGCCATATGCAGAGCGTGTATAGATCTATCTGCAAACAATATTCTGGCACTTGTTTCCTGGTACGGTGTTACTCCCCAATGGACTACTCTGTACAACCTCGTCATTTGTAATGCAATTGTTTATATTCCTTAATCTCTAGTTTGATTTTGTGAAATTGGTGTCTTAATCAGGTTTCTTAAAATTTCAAGTTGATAAGTGTAAATAGCTGATATACATGCTATTAGAGTGTTAGCAATGAAGTCATGCATTTTATTGTATACCACTGATCCTATGACCTCCATTTGTTTCTCAAATTCATTGATTTTCTGCAAGTCTCTTTTTTTTCTGTGCATACTCTAATTGCCAAAAAGATCTGTCAAGTCTTTGCATATTGAGGCTCTGTGAGTAATAGATTTGTGGCACTCTTTAGAACTACAAAACGACAAAATCGTGATGGAAAACTTTGCTGCCCGATTTGATTACTAAGTAGCAGGTGATAGTTGATCCGAAAGAGTTCATTAAATGTGAATGTCAAATCAAGTCAGGTCGAAGTAGATCAATGTGGTCTGTCCCTTTCCGGCCCTTTCTGGACGACCTTTTTCCGTTTGTACTGATACCCCTACCCCCCCCCCCCCCCTCCCCCTGGCACCAAAAGCACTACAGATTCTTTTGTTGTCTTCCCCTTTGTCCTTCTTTATATTTGGGGTATGCTGGGAGAATTCTGTTTGATAATGCCCCTATTTTATCGAAGTCTGCACTTTATGATGAAGCTTTAAAGGAAGAGGCAAACGGCTTAACTAAAGACCACAGGAAAGGGCTTGTGAGGGAGGGTTGTCGTGGTCCATCACAAAGGTAGCATTTCTTGCTTCTCTATAACTTCTAGTAGCGTCAGCTATAACCACAGCTTTTTAGCGGGTGTGTCAGCTTCTTTGTCACGGTCTCCTATGCATTTCTTCTGAAACCACGCAGTCCGGTAATAACATAAATTTCCCACATCCGGCAAATTGGCTATCAGAATAGGGCGATGCTGTTTTGACCATGAAAACACTAAGGTACATGAGTTGGAGTTGGTTGAAGAAATGAGACAGACCCTTATTCACCGTGACCCATCCATAAAATTTTATGTAAAATTTCATCAGAGAGGAGCAGTGTTAGAAAATTTCATATTGTTGCTTCGCACATTCTTCTATTTAAGGAATTTAAACAAGAATCTGAACCATATTTTGATTTTTAAAGAATTTTGGTGACATCATAAATAAAAGTTCCATTTATTTTCTCTTGCTTGATAGATTGAAAATGTTGATCTTCTAGTTAATTCTGAGTTTTCATATTTTTCTTTGGACTAGGGAAGCAATACAATCTCTAACGACAATCATTATATCCAATACAGACACCAAACCAATACACATGTATGGAGTGCAAGTAAAATTGTTCCACTGGGCATGTTACCAAGGGACAATCTCCATCCCGTGTGAACTAGAAGCACGCCCAACAAATTTTATATCGTGCGAACTAGGAGCACATGCAAGTTTACGTAAATCAAAAGATTGCTTTTGATTTAATCAATCCATTAACTACTAGAAAATAATCAAGAGGATAGGGACTTAAGCCATGAATTCAGCCCCTTGCAAAAAAAGCAAGGTCTATCCAACATGGTTTGATCCTTCACTGGACCTCCACTGAGAACTTAGTGCACAAACTGCTGCGCTCCCTGTTTGTAATAGATAGAGAGTGAATAATGGTTGATCCTCCAAACTAATAGAGCGATTGAGTCCGGCTCAAGCAAGTGAAAGGCATGGTTTGGAAACTAATAAGAATTCCAACCTATCTTTGGTCGCATACATTGTGTGTATTCTGTTGAAATAACAAGGCGTCATGCGAAAATGAACAAAAATAAAGAGGTATAGTACTTTGATATGGTTTGGTCAAGTAACTTACACATGAACGATTCAATAAAAATAAAGAGCATAAAATAAAACTCTCCTTAAATAAATTAAAAAAACTCTCAAAACCTAAAATATTACATTGTTGATGCTATTGGATTATTGTGTGAGAAGAAAAAATCCTCAATTTATGGAAGTGTAAAACTTCTCCTCGAACAAAAGGATAAATATGGAAGTCCTTCCACCAAAAAAATATTTTCAATCAAGAAAAGTAATTCATATTATGATAGAAAATCAGGGCAAACTCTAACATTGTGTGAGAGTGAGTGTGTGTGTG